ATAAAAACAATAATGATAATCACAATAAAGAATACAGAGTCATAACGATGATAATTATGATATTATTAATAATAATGTTAGAAGTGATATTAATACCAATGCCAATAACAATAACAATAATAATAATGATGATGACGATGACGATGATGATGATAGTTAGTAATAAAAATTATAGTAATAGTGATAATAATAATGATAATAATAGTAATAGTAATGTTAATAATAAAAAGAATAGTAATTATGATAATAATAGTAATAATAACAATGGCAATAATGATAGTAATGCTAACAACAATAACACAACTACAACAATAATAATAATAATAACAATGATAATGATAACAATAATAGCAAAAATAATAACTAAAATGATAATATCGATAATAAAAATAATAATGATAATAATAATGATAATTCATATTAGTAATAATCATAATAACGATGAACATAACTTTTGCTTTTCTTTTTCTTCAACACTTTTCCTGCTTTTTAAAAAGTTTTCATTTGTTATGACAAAATACAGGGATGTATGTAATAGTGTGTGCGTGCTTGCGTTTGTACCTGTGGACTATGTTATATGTGTACATGTTTGCCTGTGTGCATTTCCATGTGTACCTTGTGGATTTGCGAGCACCCAAGACGAAAGTCTCACAAACAGTGCCCACTCGTAAACTTCATCCGTCAAAGTCCAAGTGAATAACTCCGCGAAATGTCTATAATGACACGCGACCCGACACAGTTTGTTTCACTTTCGTTACACTTTGGTAGACTTCAACCCCCCCTTCCCCCTACCTTTTCCCCTCCCAACTTTTCGTTCTGTTCTTTGCTCGTTCTTCGGTTCATTTGTTCTTTTCCTTAAGAGCCGAACGCATCATTGAGTCGCAAGGTCTCGTGTGTAATTTCAGTTTTGCATGCTATGCTGCACTGCGCTGTGCTGTGTGCAATGCAGTGCAGCTCATATTGCACATGTACATGGAGAGGAAGACTGAGAAAGACTTTGAGTAGGCGAAGGGAAAGAGAGAGCAAAGAAGTAGTTTATATATACATATATATATGTATATATATATGCATATATATAAATACATACATAGAATATATATATATATATATATATATATATATATATATATATATATATATATATATATATATATATATATATGTGTGTGTGTGTGTGTGTGTGTGTGTGTGTGTGTGTGTGTGTGTGTCTATATATATATATATATATATATATATATATATATATATATATATATATATATATATATATATATATATATAATGTATATTCACACACACACACACACACACACACATATATGTATATGTATATATATATATATATATATATATATATATATATATATATATATATATATATATATATGTGTGTGTGTGTGTGTGTGTGTGTGTGTGTGTGTGTGTGTGTGTGTGTGTGTGTGTGTGTGTGTGTATGTATATATAAACTATATTTATATATACATATATATATATATATATATAAATATCATCATTCTCTCTCTCTGTTTATATATATATATATATATATATATATATATATATATATATATATATATATATATATATATAAATATATATAAACAGAGAAAATGATGATATGATTGAGACGATTGGTATATATATAAAATAATCAGACAGTGATAAATATAAAGATGTAGACAGACAGACAGCAAGCACGCTAGCTTGATAGATCTATTGACAGATAGACAGGCAGAAATAGAAACAGCAGGAAGATACATAACTAACCAGCCAGATGATGGAGAGAGGAAAAGAGACCGACAAAGATAAAGACAGACACAGGCAGACAAAGACAGAGACCGAGAAAAATGGAGACAGAGACAGACAGACTCTTAAACAGACAGACAGAAAGGGGACCAGGCCGCCTAACGTGAAGGAAAGGCAGGAAACACTGCAGAGTTTATGCCTCCCTCATTGATCTCCTCCCGCGTGCGTGTCTCTCTTCCCTTCCCTCCACGCCTCTCATTATCAGTTTTCTCTCGTGTGCCCTTCGCGGAGGAGGCGAGGCGAAATAGCAAAAGATAAAGAGGGAAAACAGTTTGGACGTTCCACACTTCGGCATTTTGAGCATTATCGTACATCAACGGGGTGTTCTTCGCCTGTTGTTGACGTCGTTTGTCGCGGGAGATGTTATCTTGCGCATGATGGAGTTCTCGTGCCGATGGCGGGCTTTCGTCTTTTTGTATATTATGGATGCTCTTCTTTCTTTCTTCCTCTCTTTCTTTACTTCGTCTCCTCCATGTCACCGTCTTTTTCTCCTTTTTTTAATCTTCCTTTTCTTCCTCTTTGTTCTTATTCTGTTTGTCGCCTGGTTCTTTTTTTATCTTGCTTCTCATTTTCGTACCTGTTGTTTTTTCTATTTTTTTCTTTCGTCTTTCTTTATTTTTTTTCTTTCTTCTTGTCATCCCATTTTCTCTTTTTTCCCTCCTTCCGTCGTTTTCCTTTCCTCCCTCCTCTTCCT